GAGAAAGAGAAAGAGAGAGAGAGAGAGAGAAAGTGAGAAAGCTAACTACCAGGTCCGGGACTCGAACCACGGTCACCTTACATGGGAGTCCAGTGCCCTTAACCACCACATCACCTGCTGGCCCCTATAAAGAAATTTATAATGCAAAGACTCCAACTTGGGAAAGCTTAAATATTATAGCTACTGATTTGAAAACTTCCACACAAAACAAGTGATTTGTCTGAGAAAGGTACGAGTTCTTCCTTACCAACTCCTCCACTTACCTGGTGTGTGGTAAGATTGCACAATATAACATCTCCAGAGCCTGTGGCCACGCACACAGACTCCTGATCCAGCAAGTCCTGAATACCAACAATGCAGCCACTTCCATCCTCTGGGAGAAAGCCTTCTGCCTTCAAATGAATTTCATTTTTCACCTTTCACCAAAGCAAACACGTAAGCGAATTAATCCAGTCTACTTTAAAGAATCGTTCACAATATTTCAGGAAGTACTTAATGCTTCTTTCATATTATAAAAGCTTCAAAACATGTTTTCCCTAGATTAAAATCCAAACTCCAATTAAGGATTACAACTCTGTCATCTCTAACAAGAAAAACAGGTGAGGTGACTGTTCAGCCAAATAAACACAAAACAAAAATGTAGTCTCTCTAAAAGTGTTCAACAAAATATGAAATTAATAACTAGATTCTAAGATTTCAATGGTATAGAGAAAAGACAAGAAGAACGCAATCATCTAAAATACATTCACAGCAAAACATAAAGAAGGTAAAATATCAAAATCAACTTACAGAACTTTAAAAAAATATATATATATGGTCAGAATTTTGCAGTAAAGATTCTAATTTAAGTCCTAGAGTTAGGGGCTCAAATACATTTTTTTAAAAAGCTTTATGGGCATCCTTTATGTGCATTCCTAGTTAAGAGCCACTGTTATAAATAGTATTTACATGGCAGAAATGGTAGAAAGTATAACATTCACACTAAATAAAAGCTCAGAGTTTTGTCTACTTAGCTTAAAGTAGAATAGCAGTAAAGGTAAGCTACTGTCTAAGTTAAGTCTAATATGATATTTACATAAAACAAAGAGCATGTTTACTTTAGAAGATAAAAATTTGGAAACACCTAAAGAAAGACTATCTAGAGGAAGGAAGTTTGGAAGAAGACAAATCAAAGGCCAAAGTCCTGGCATTCTCCACAGGTGGCTTACTTCTCTTGTGACAGGGTCTACTTCTATCAGTCCATGTTCTGAGCCAATGAGCACTGTCCCTTGTTCAGTCCGGAGAGAAAAACACTGAGGTTTCCCTGGAGCTTGAATATCCCTGAACTCCAGGGTCCGAAGTAACTTCAGATTTCGCATGATGAAATGATTTCTGAGAGAAAAGTACAAATATTTCTTGATAAAGCATTAATCCCTAAGAGAGAAAGGAACAACTTAACAGTGATAAATGGCCACACTATATAACTAAAATGATGCAGGGAGTGGTGAGGTGATAGTAAGAATTGGAATAACCAAGTAAAAAAGCTGTCTCTTTGAACACACATCCACACATGCACAGCAGCAACCTGACGTACTGTCAAGAGCTAAGGGCTACAGACTGAGGACTCTGAAATTTATCTTATGTTTATTCTTTAGGAGAGGCAAGATTCTCAACTTCAATGTTTCTCTTCAAAAAACTTTTTGTTTTTGGGACAGGCAATAGCATGGTGCTTAAGGGCGCTGGACTCCCACATAGCCAACAGTGGTTCGAGTCCCAGACTTGGCAGTTTGCTTTCTCTCTCTGTCGCTCGCTCTGGTCAGAGTAAAATAAATAAATAAAGTTAAAATAATTCTTTAAAAAAAAAAAAAGATTTGTTTTTCTGGAGTTTTTTTTTTTTTTGGTTTGTTTTTTGCTGTAGGATACTTGTTGGAGAGGGACACAGTGAGAGGGGGAAAGTGAGAAATCATCCCTGAGGGGACTGAGGGGATGACCACACCACAATCCCTTCTTCTCCACTCTCTTCCCAGGATCTTGGACACACATGCACACATACCCAACGTGAACTTCAGGCTGCCAGGTCCCGAACTTTAACAGCAGCAGACCATGTGGGAGCCCAGCAACATAACTGCTATGCATCTGCTGGCCCCTCCAAAAAGGATTTAACATCAGCTATTCTTTAGGAAAGTTGAAAAGAACAAATGAATAGAAAAACATTCTATTTTTACATACTAGAATATCTTTATAACCTTACAGATTTATAAAATCATAAGGAAAAACAAAAGATTACCCTACTGATTAGAATTACAGAAAAATCAATGTATATAAGGGTCTTCAAAAAGTCCCTGGAAAATATGTATTATGAAAAAAAGCTATGTGTGGATTTCAAAATAATATTTTTGGAGGCCGGCAGGTGATGTCACGGTTAAGGTGCAGAACTCCTACATGGCCAAGAGCAGTTCAAGTCCTGGACCCAGTAGTTTGAAAATCTCACAGGTTGTATGCCCAAAATCCCAAGAGGAAGATGGAGAAGGGATTATGGTATAGTCATGCGCCCTCCCTGGGAGTGATTTCTCATTTTCCCCTTCTCTGTCTCTCTCCAGTGAGTGCATGTGTCCTACGGCAAAAACCTAAAAAATAATTTTTTGAATCAAAATAAACTTATATTTTAATTCTATTTTTCCATGAACGTTTCATATATACTGGTAGTTGAAAAGAACTGGGAATAAAATGATATTTGTGTCCACTGGTTACATTTATTTGTAAAAATTACAAGTCATTTTGGGAACCAGCAGTTAGTGTAATGGCTATGTGGCTGGATTCCCACATAGTCGACTGTGGTTCGCGTCCTGGACCCGGTGGCTTAGAACTCATGCCGGGCGCATGTGTGTGCGTGCCCAAGATCCCGAGGGGAGAATGGAGGAGAAGGGATTGCGGCGTGACCATCCCCCCTGGGGGGGTGATTTCTCGCTTTCGGTCTCTCTGTCTCTGTCTGTCTGGCAAGCACACGTGCCCTATAGCGAAAACCTCTCAAAAAAAAAAATTACAAGTCATTTTTAATGACTTAATGCTGTAAAGATTACCATTGAGGAACAAGCAGGTAGGTAGCATGATGGTTAAGTCACTGGACTCCCACACGGCCAATTCCAGTTGATCCTGGACCTGGCGGCTTAAAACTCACGGCTGGCGTGTGTGCATGCACGCACATAATGTCAGGAGGAGGAGAAGGGGGATTTCTCACTTTTCCTCTCACTGTCTCTGTCTTCCTCCAGCAAAAGCACCCTATGGCAAAAACCTAAAAAAGAAAAAAAAAAAATGACCATTGACAAAGATCTGAAAAGATGGGTGGACATGAAAGGATTGGTAGATTTGGGACCAGCAATTGGCGTAATGGCTATGTCGCTGGATTCCCATGTAGCCAATCACGGTTCGAGTCCTGGACCCGTCCTGGACCCGGTGGTTTAAACTCATGCTGGGCACGTGTGCGTGCGTGCCTGAGATCCCAAAAGGAGAATGGAGGAGAAGGGATTGCAGCATAGCCATCCCCCCTGGGGGGTGATTTCTCACTTTCTGTCTCTCTGTCTCTGTCTGTCGGGCGAACGCACGCACCCTATAGCAAAAACCTCTCCAAAACAACAACAAAAAGGATTGGTAGATTTGAGATAAAATGCAAGCTTGGCATGTCTGTCTAGAAGGGAGTAAGCAAGGACTAGAATAGCAAGAGATGAGAATAGACAAGCTTGGGGTGGGAAGAGAGCACCATGTAAACTTTTCCACCTGTTGATAGTGTTGATACTGGTTTATCCAATAATCATTACGCTGTACTACTGCCATGATCAGATCATTATGATGTCTCCAGATCCTTCCCTGTGAACTTGGATTCTGTTCACCCAAAACCTGTGGAATCCTAGAGTCCAAGGACCCCAAGATAAGAATGTGGGAGAATAAAGGCAGAAAGAGAGAATTTGCTCTTTCCTGTTGTCTTGTTGTTCTTGTCACTATCACTCTGAAGGCCCCACAGTCCCAGTCCCTAGCACTCCCAAGATCAGCCTCAACCACCCCCTCCTCCAGAGGTACCGTCACTATTCAGACACCCACACACACACCACTAGATTTCTGAAATCTAGCTCTGTGGGTCTCTGAACTCCTGAGGCTTCAACACCAGAAGTCTGAGCCTCAGCTTCATACTGCCTTTCCTCCAAACGTTAGGTCCTGATAACCCCAACATCTTCCTTTGTTTTGACCTCTAGCCCTCGCTAAGTACTGCAGCTGTTCCCTTCGTTTACCTTTTAACTTCACTGCTCCTTTTCACTTTTTGTTCTTCTAAAAGCTCTTTAACCAACTCTTCCTATTACGTTTTCTGTTGAAATAGCATGGGGTTTCTACTTTTCTGACTGAACTCTGAGTGACAAGCACAGCAAAAAGCCTGACTTCTCAAAATCACTGAGTTCATAGCCTACCACAGCCAGCTCATTCACCTCCCTCCCAACCTCAATCCCACAGCCTGGAAACTAACTTCTCTTAATCCTCATGTGTATCACTCTTACTCGTTTATCTTGTCAGAGGAACACTTGTCCACACTCCTTTCCAGGCTAAAAAAGGAACATTTCCCCCAACTCTCCCAGGACCTTAGCTCATCAGTACTGCTACATTTGTAATCTCCAACTCCCCTGCCTCCATCCATTCAACTTTTCTCAGCCTTCAAATGTGCTCAAGATCCCTCCACACCACAGGTTTAATCCTGGATTATCTCCTAATTTTCTGGCAATGCATACATTTTCTTCCCTTGGCCCTTCATTTGTCCACCTCTCGCCTAATCACCACTTCCATGACTACAAGTACCAGACAGATCACTAATACGCTGAGAGCACCATGTAAACTTTTCCACCTGTTGATAGTGTTGATACTGGTTTATCCAATAATCATTACGCTGTACTACTGCCATGATCAGATCATTATGATGTCTCCAGATCCTTCCCTGTGAACTTGAATTCTGTTCACCCAGAACCTGTGGAATCCTAGAGTCCAAGGACTTAAAAGATAAGAATGTGGGAGAATAAAGGCAGAAAGAGAGAATTTGCTCTTTCCTGTTGTCTTGTTGTTCTTGTCACTATCACTCTGAAGGCCCCACAGTCCCAGTCCCTAGCACTCCCAAGATCAGCCTCAACCACCCCCTCCTCCAGAGGTACCGTCACTATTCAGACACCCACACACACACCACTAGATTTCTGAAATCTAGCTCTGTGGGTCTCTGAACTCCTGAGGCTTCAACACCAGAAGTCTGAGCCTCAGCTTCATACTGCCTTTCCTCCAAACGTTAGGTCCTGATAACCCCAACATCTTCCTTTGTTTTGACCTCTAGCCCTCGCTAAGTACTGCAGCTGTTCCCTTCGTTTACCTTTTAACTTCACTGCTCCTTTTCACTTTTTGTTCTTCTAAAAGCTCTTTAACCAACTCTTCCTATTACGTTTTCTGTTGAAATAGCATGGGGTTTCTACTTTTCTGACTGAACTCTGAGTGACAAGCACAGCAAAAAGCCTGACTTCTCAAAATCACTGAGTTCATAGCCTACCACAGCCAGCTCATTCACCTCCCTCCCAACCTCAATCCCACAGCCTGGAAACTAACTTCTCTTAATCCTCATGTGTATCACTCTTACTCGTTTATCTTGTCAGAGGAACACTTGTCCACACTCCTTTCCAGGCTAAAAAAGGAACATTTCCCCCAACTCTCCCAGGACCTTAGCTCATCAGTACTGCTACATTTGTAATCTCCAACTCCCCTGCCTCCATCCATTCAACTTTTCTCAGCCTTCAAATGTGCTCAAGATCCCTCCACACCACAGGTTTAATCCTGGATTATCTCCTAATTTTCTGGCAATGCATACATTTTCTTCCCTTGGCCCTTCATTTGTCCACCTCTCGCCTAATCACCACTTCCATGACTACAAGTACCAGACAGATCACTAATACGCTATTTAGATCAAAATGTCTAGCGCTGACTGAACTAGCCCAAACTGAGTATTAAACTTACATATCCAGCCTACTGATGTCTCATAATCATATCGAATTCAATCTGCAAAATGAAGAACTTGCTATTCTTCCACCAAATGACAGTTTCTCCTATTTGGGGACATGGCATGAATCCTTACACAGCAGCTGTGATTCGGTTTGTAGCCTATATCAAACACCTACAAGCACCTGCTAAGGAGCAAGATCCGAAGACCAGACATTATTTTGTCACTGCTTCTATAGATCAGAGCTTAACAGTAACAGGCTAGGGGAGGCGGCAAAAGCCCCAAAATATATGGAGAAGCACAGGGGACACCACCTCCACGAAAATGTCGAACACGCGAGAAGGGGCCCACAGCACAGCACCCAGACTCGCACTACCAATCACCGCCTTCCATTGCAGACTAATTGGCGAGCTATAGGCGGTATTATCCATCCCTTACAAGCAACGCCTAGGCTGCATAAGTGCAACTCAAGGAGCAGCACGTCATCCCTAGGCCGCCGCGGCGTCCCGGATGGCTGCAGGTGGAGAGGTGGCGGCTCGTGGATAGAGGTGGTCCAAGCCGCGCTCCACTCCCCGCCGGCCTGCACCTAGCTGGGAAGTCTCAGGTCCCTTTTACCAGGACCCCTGTGGTGGACAGGACCCGGTCCCGTGCCTCACCCAGCGTGCGCTGCAGGAACGCCCACCTGTGCAGCGTTCTGAAGACCCCGGAGCAGCTGTGCGTCCGCACTCACCGCACCACCGCGTGCCGAAGGCCGCCAGGGCCCGCCCGGGATTGGGCACGCGCCTCTCCGTCCGCGACTCCCAAGCGCTCACGGTGCACGCTGGGGCCCCTGGGGGTAGAAGATGAAGCTCAGCTGAGCTGCAAAGCCGCGGACAGTAACGTGCGGTAAGCAGGCCGGACACGCGCCCAGCCGCGCGCGCGTGACGTCACGTGCAGAGGGCGTGGCCGGGCAGCGGGAGGCTTCCTACTTTCTCTGCAGCCGGGTGAGGCAAACGCTCGGGACCTGCACTGCTTGCTGCCCCGCTCCGTCTGCCCTCCGCCCACTGCCCACCCCGCTGTGTCTGATTCCCGCTTTGACGTCCGACTCCAAAGTACAGCCAGTGGCGATAGCGGGCGGAGCCTGCGGGGCCGGAGCAGCGCGCGTGCGC